TGCAGAAAATTGGAGAGGACTGGATAGTGCATTTGGAACAGTTGCAGCAGCTGAAACAATTTGCAAAGGATGCAAACTTCCAAAGGGCCGTCCGGAAAGTAAAGCAGGAGAACAAACTGAAGTTGGCAGAACTTCTGCAAAAAGATTATGGTGTTAAGGTGAATCCAGCTTCTGTGTTTGATATACAGGTGAGTATAATAATGACATCCTACATACATCGGAGAACTGCACATAAAAAATCCTGCTGTTTCACATATTATAGTACAGATTTTCTTTTAATATCACAGTTTTGTTTCCGATGACCATGTATATCTATAGAAAGAAAGCATACGTTAGGACTGAAATAGTTGGGAAGGCAGGTTTTGCATGCCATCGGAGAACTGCACATAACAGATAACCGTGCCACGGTGGTCTAGCGGTTAGAAGGCTGGCCTTGTAATCCTGGGGTCTCGGGTTCGATTCCCGGCGGTGCCTGAATTTATAACTTGTGTTGGGCAAGGCCGTGGTCTAGGCAACACGGAGTTTTCCTCCGGGGGCTTCCCCGGTTTCTCCGTGGCATCCCAACAATTACTCCATTCACACACAGAAGAAGGCAATGGCAAACCACTTCTGGATCATCTGCCAAGAACGTATATGAACAGGTCCCAGTCCGAGAAAAGGATGGAAGGATCATGTTCATATGGACCTGGCGGCAGACAGAACACTACAAATAAAAAATAACAGATGAGTGACTTCAGGTTCTGCTACATATGCAGCATGGCTGCCACAAAGTAGTGTTTAATGCGAATAATATGCTTTTTGTAAGTGCAGGTTAAACGAATACATGAGTACAAACGTCAGCTGCTCAACTGTTTGCATATCATCACACTGTATAACCGCATCAAGCGCAATCCTGCTGCCAGCTTCACGCCTCGTACTGTCATGATTGGAGGGAAGGTATGGAACTTGCTCAGCAAAACGGCTACTACACAGATGCCCTCTATTATAAATTAAACCTGATACTCAATTTAATATCTTTGGAGACTTAAAACAGTTAATAGGTTTCTTAACTTGACAGTTACTCATCATTTTTTTAGGCTGCTCCTGGATACTTCATGGCAAAGAAGATTATTAAGCTGATCTGCTCTGTTGGAAATGTTGTGAATAATGATCCAATTGTTGGAGACAAACTTAAAGTTATCTACTTGGAGAATTATCGTGTCACACTGGCAGAGAGGATCATACCAGCAGCAGACCTCAGTGAGCAGATATCTACTGCTGGCACAGAGGCTTCTGGTACTGGCAACATGAAATTCATGGTATGTTTTGAGGTTACTTTTGTTTCTGTTTAGCCATACTATTATTATTAAGTGTTCTGTCTTACGACAGGTCCATTGCTCTGCCCAAAAAAGAGCTCTCCAGTTTTCCCTATTCTCGGCTTCTCACTTTAATTCCTGGAACGTCATCTTCTTTCCTTGTTTAAGGTCGTCGGTTAGCTGTATCAGTCTTCTTCCCAGTCCTCGCTTTCCTTCAACCTGGCCTTCGGTGATATCACTCATTAATCCATTCCTTCTCATAATATGTCCCAGCCAGTTAGCTTTCCTTCGTGTAATCGCCTGCAGAATGCTTCTTTGCTCGTTGACTCTCAATACTTCTTCGTTGGTCACTCGATCCGTCCACCTGATCTTCTCTATTCTTCTCCAACACCACATTTCAAAACTCTCCAGCCATACTAATGGAAGCTAATTAATTATATCTCCTGTATGCAATTTTTAGTTAATTTATTTAATCAGATATAAAAATAAAAGATAACATTGGCTCACTGACTCATTCACCCATTATCAAATCACTGTACTTAATTATTTTAATACAAGAGATTGACGGGTTCTTTGTATGCTTCATCATTATGTTCAATATGTTACATTTTTAAAAGGAAATTCAGGCACAGAAGGTTAATTTATCAGAAAGACAGGCTTCAGTAAAATCTTGCTGTGATTTCTTTCTGTCCTCCCCATTTATTTATAATATTGTCACTAGTTGAATGGAGCTTTGACAATTGGTACACTTGATGGAGCCAATGTGGAAATGGCTGAGGAGATGGGTCAAGAAAACATCTTCATCTTTGGAATGACCGTGGAGGAAGTGGAGGATCTGAAACACCGTGGTTACAATGCTTATGACTACTACAACAGCAATCCAGAGATCAAGCAGTGTGTGGACCAGATTCAGAATGGCTTCTTCAGTCCTAGTAACCCAGATGAGTTCAGGGATGTGGCTGATGTCCTGCTCAAGTATGACAGGTTCTTCTTACTTGCAGACTTTGATGCTTACATCAAGTGCCAGAATAAAGTGAGCGAAGTCTATCAGGTATGTGACACTGCCATTGCCAGATATTTCAGTTTTATTAAATTTTGTCATCAAACCTTCTCCACATAAACTTCTAGTAAATGTAAGACTTGAGGTTCTCACAGCGGTGAGTATGAAGATATCCGTCTTCTGGGTTATTGCGCTGTGTAGTCTGGTCGATGTTAACCAACGTTTCAGAGGTCATACTGCCTCCGTCATCAGGGCGATGAATATGCCAATAGGGTGTGAGGAGCTGGATTTATAGGCCGGGAAGTGAAAGGTGTAGCCTGCCCCGAGCCAATGGTAGTACGTGGGCGAGAGTGGGAGAGAAAGTAGAGAGAGTAAATGCTATGTGAACTTTTAGACTTCTAGTACTAGGCTCAAAGAACAAGACATAGAAACAATAGTAAACTTCTTTCTGCTAAAATTAGGAGATTCTAATGAAATAAAGTACTTGTATATTAATTGCAATATTAATATTTTATATACATGCACACACTAGAGGCAGGCAGACATAGAAAGAGACAAACAGGTGACACTTAAAAAACTAGGACTCGTTGCTGCTTGAAAAATATTGCACCAAATGGTGTAAGCTGAATTTATACTGCACTTTCCCAGTGGTATAAACTGAGTCTCTCAAGTAAGTATTATAATATAGGAGCCTTTATAAATTTTGCATATTTTCATGTTTTTTTATGATTTCCAAGGGAGACTTTTCTTTGGCATTCTATTTTATCTGTATGTACCTGTCTGATACCTTACTCACTCTCTCATTCAACTATGGACAACTAAATGATCAATTTTTGTCAAAATCTCTGGGATCAGCATGCCATTACACACATCATCTCCAAGCTGTTTAACTTTGTAGCATCAATACCAGCATAATGGATGTGCAAATTTTTATATGGAAACAGTATTAGTGATATTCAGCAGAGGGCCCTTAAGTTTTATGATCTTTCATCTTTGAACAGTATGCAATTTTAATAAGATAATTTTTAGGAAAATGGCATGCTGATAACAGACAAATCATTGAAACTACTTTTCATGTCACATATGTATCTTCAGCTGTACCAGTTCAGATTCAGTCATAACTTTAACCAGTGCTTTCAGTTATTATCCACTATGATACTGTAAGCTTAACAGACAAATTTGCACTTAATTACACTATATATTCGCAGGACCAGTCCAAATGGGTTGAGATGGCAATTTATAATATTGCCTCATCTGGAAAATTCTCCAGTGATCGAACTATCGAAGAATATGCGCGGGAGATATGGGGCGTGGAGCCTAGCTGGGAGAAGTTGCCAGCACCACACGAACCTCGTGAAGAAGAGCCGGTTGCTAAGTAATGTAATTTAACTTCCTGTCCTACAGACAACTGGCTGCTAGCCTTGTCAAAATATAGTTTAGTCTACAGGCCTATTTGAAATGTTTCTTAAGTTTGGTCCAGAACAGTTCCAGGTGACAGACTTGTATCTTGATATCTCATCATGCATACTGTTGATGATCCAAACCAGTCAGTGATGATGAGTCATTATAGGCAATATGATATCTTTAATATTTTAACATGCAAATTAGGTGGGAAAGGAAAGCACACTCGCTTAATCCCTTCGTTGTTATAATAAAACAATTATCTACACTGCATCTTCACAAAAATAAATTGTTTAATATTCTTTTGTTCAACACAACATGAAAAAAAAATGGTATTAGAACCTGGGAAAATTATATTACAGGATGAATACATACTTTCAGTAATACTGAAAGGGGTAATGCTTTCCACTCCTACATTTACGCTGTGCCAAAGTTTCAGATGAACTCCAAAGTCAATATATGTCAACAGATTTCTATATTCAGTTGCCATTTCATATTGGATTAGATGTTTTCTGTATAGGACTAATTCCTCTGTGACAATTGAACGTAGCCAGTTTCAGTTTTCATATTCCCTTTGGAAGTATGGAAAGTACATGACATACCCTCCTCAGTCAGATGACACTAGCCTGTATATAGAATCTGTTGCATTATTCGTAGGATCAGTGGGCACAAACTCTTGCACTGCTCTGTGCTGTTTTTTTATAATCTGGAGTTGCAAACAGTGTGGAGAATATTTAGGCCTGGTTTGTTCTTATTAGTATCTTCCAATCACAGTTTTGTTTTATTAACTATTCACATTACTGCCCACAGTTAACCTTTCATATTAATATATATAATAAAAGGATTGCATGGTTTGTTCCCCCAGTACACAGGTTCATCAAATGAGTTCATAACCCAACTATTTCAACATTTCATTGCTCAAATTGCACCAGGGAAGCAAAATGCCATTTGTCTTTTGTATGCACATTTGTTAAAGACTTTGCAATGTATAAAGTATAATCAGATGTGAAAGGCAAGCATTAAATGAGATGAATCTGGTATAACTATGAATAATAACTTGATTTACACTAACAAAAATATAATTTCAGAATAAACAATTTAGTTTTCTGCAGAAGGAAACCACAGGCAGTAATGCTGTTTTCTGTTGTCTTTTGAAAGCCAAATTTAGCATGAGAATATATTTTATTCTTATGGGCACGTTCTCTTTCTCATGGTAGACAGAGGCTTTCAAATGAAGAAAATTGGATAAATGGTAAAGGCCAGCATGTCGAGTCCAATCTGTCACAGTATTTCCCAAACATTGGTCACAGAAGATACTGTAGAATCCCATCCCAAACCTTAGGGCATAGAACATGGCAGTCTGTTATGGTGCATTCTTTAGCTATCACAGCTCTCTACCAATTTTACAGCATAGAATATGGTGATCTAATTATAGTGCTTAAATGAATTATAAGAATATTAACTTCTTCAGCTGCTACAGGTTAAATTCTCAGACCTGTTCTAATTTGGAATTAAATCTGAAATAAAAGAATTGTTTACTTCAGGGATTCTCAACCTATTTCAGACTTGGGGCCACATTAACTTTTTTTCCGCCTGAATCAGTATGATAGTTTATTATAAGTGCTTCTAAATTATGACTCCCTTTTCAGACCAATTTACATATTACTCGGTAATTTCCATAAACAAAATTAGCCATTACTGAGATAACGCCACTGTTTTTGCATAATTAATTTTCAGTAGCAGGTTTCATTTCTATCGTGATTCATATGTATCTCTCTGAATGTTCAGTTCATCATAAGTATTTTAAGAATATTACTACTAGTCCCTATGCTATGCAAGTAAACTGTTAGTTTTAAAACATTAATTCTTGTTAACTTTGACTTCAAAAAACTAAAATTTTCATCAACACAAATATGAACTATTCTTTTCTTTTTCATAATATGATGATTACTTAGAGTTTTTATAATAAAATATATCGTCATTGTCATCATCATCATCATCAAGATCATCATGTCGCATTACCTTCTTTTCATTTCCAAGACACTTTGATGTAGGTAAATGGCCCTCTTGCATTTCCGCACCACTACTTTCTAACTTAAATTCTATTTTCAGTCTAATATCATCAAATTTATCACTACTAGTGACTTTATCCATTACATCTTCAGAGAATTGCTGTCTATAAGAATCTGTTAATGAGTCCTCAATTTCTATGGATGTTTCTTCACTATCTACAGTATTTTTATTTTCAAAGACCACTGGTTTAACTGGATGTCTGAAATCTTCTCTTAAGATGTTTCTAGTCAGTGTGCTTTGTGATGAATTGTTCTTAAAACTTTTGTGCTTGTTAGTTTTGCTTGATTTCTGAGAAGTAACATTTTGATTACCACAAATTTTAAACATACCTTCCTTTTCTTTTTCACAAAACAAATGTCTAGGGTTTTTATAAAAAATATCATCATCTGATGATGAGTGTATTTCATTCGTAAGATCCTCTGACTGAGTTGACAGAATTCTTCCTTTTTCTGTTCTACTTATATTTAATTTAGATTTCATTTTAAATTTGTGAATGTTATCAGCTTTATCACTGCTAGCACCTTTCTTCATCTTATCTCCAGAGAATTGCTTTCTGTAAGAGTCTGTAAATGTGTCTTCATCACTACTATGACTGTCTAAAATGTCTTCCTTTTCAAAGAGTGCTGGTTTAACCAGGAATTTCTGAGCTTCTACAGAGGTAGTATTTCTAGTGAACATTCTTTGTGATGAATTTTGGACTTTGTTAGTTTTATTCAATTTTGGCAAAGTAAATTTTTCTTTATCACAAATACTACCTGTTGTTTCCTTTCCTTTTTCATCAAATAATGAACGTTTGTGGGTTTTATCAGATATACAATCTTCGTTTTCACCATGGTTTCGTCTTCCAGTCGTCCTTCGTGTAGCAAACATACATTCATTTCTGTCACGCCCTGAATTAAAGAAACTGTTTGATATTTTTGTATGCTTTTCTTTTTTATGCAAAACATTTTCCTTGTTTGGGTTTTCATCATCTATTATGTGATATTCAGTTTTGGTATTATCTGAATCATGTAAGTGGTTTGATAATTTTGCTCCCTTCCATTTGGATGACACATTTTCCTTTTGTAAACAACCCCCATCATCACTAAATATATGTTTATAACCATCTGCTATGTCTTCATTTTTACCATGCTCTGAACAAATTTTGTTTGATGTTGCTCCACTTTGGACCCTGGTTGGGTTATCACTGTCAGTTTTAGAAAAACTTGATCCAGTTAAATAATCTGATGTTTCTCGTTTCCTTTTACTTTTGGTTAAGACAAATCCCTTTCTTGTGATTTCACCGTCATCTGCTTTATCATCTTCATATTCAGCACATTCTGATCCAAGTGGATGGTTTGAAGACCTTGTTAGTTTTCTCTTTGTAGCTAAAACATATGACTGTTCTGGGTTTTTACCATCATCTGTCATGGTGTTTCCAATTCTGTCATGCCCTAATTCAACTGAAAGATGTGGTGTTTCTGTTACACTGCGATGACTGCCATCTCCAACCATTGTCCTTACACTCTTGCACTCCTCAGACTTACCTCTAAGTCCTGATATATTATTATAATTTGTACTTCTAGGAGAAAGGTTTTGTGTATTTAAAGAAAATATTTTATTTATGTTGCTCTCTCTTTCATGATGCAATGACGAGTGTTGTGGGGGTCTATAACAAAATATATCATCATCATCATCATCAGGCATTACAGCTTCATTTTCATCGTACTCTGAAAGAAGTGAAGGATTTGTCTCTCTTTTACTGTTCATCTCAAAACCATGATCTTCATCATAAGAGTTACAATGATTAAATTTTATCTTATCTGTTCCAAATCGCAGCAACTTATTTGAATGTTTTGGGGATTCTTTGTTACTCTTATTTGTAATAGACATGTTCTGTGATATAGAATTGGATATTTTATCATAACTATTATTTGCTCTCTCCTCTTTTTCAGATTGTAATGATGTATACTGTTCAACATCCTTTAATCTATTTCCATTCACTGTATCACTTTCTTCTTCTTCTTCTTCCTGTTGGTCACCTGTCAGTTCATAGGACTTATTATCCCTGCTATTGCCTTGTGTCTCACTTATATAACTGGGATGATGTTGACTGACATCTAAGTTTATTTTGTTTCTTTGATCTGCAAACACTGAATTTCTCTTAGAACAAACGTAGATGTGACCTGTCCTTCCTGCAAGGGAAAATTAAACATATAATAATAATATTGCATAATATATATACACACACATACAATGGACAAGTCCGAAATACCACTTTTACAGACTTCTGCTTTGTGATCAGGTCCCAGGTACAAATCTCAGCCCAAGATCAGCTATTGCAAATGGCAGGTTTTATGGCTTTCCCCATTCCCTTAACGAAAATTCCATAATATTATCTCAAATTAGGCCATTACAGCTTCCTTCCATATCCTTTGCAATTCACTATTAATTAATCATTTGTCATCTGATGCTGAGTAGTCTGAGCTACTGACAGTGTTATAAAATAAACTACAAATAAATACATTTATGGTTTATTTAATGATGCTTTCAGTAGCTTAGATTATATAGCATAAACAGTAAGATATCCAGACAGTGTACAGAGCCAGAGTGTATATTTGAGTTGACAGGAGGATTTAAAGAAGTCAACTTATATTCAGCTGATGATTGGACAGTATGCTTACCCTCACTGTGTGTAACTTGTCGACCTCCTCTATCTTTCTCCTTATAATTTTCTTGTAGATTTTCCAATTTCTTTCTGATTTCTGGCAGAAAATGCTCATATTTGCAGGATAAAAGTGGATTGAACATAATGGTAGAAGCATCCTCCAAACTATAAACAACAGAGCCCTCATCTGAGGTAGGAAGATCAACACATTTCGAAGAAAGAATTTCTTGACCTTTAATTTGTATACAACTTTCTACAGGCTCTGGAGTCTGAAGAATTTCCTTTCTTGAAGTTTCACTTTGTTCACAGTGTTGTTCTCTTGCAACTGGGACTCTCACATCTTCATAAGTTAGAACGTCAGTCCCCGAAGTCTGGTCCTTTCTGCCATTCCCCAGAACTTGTACTCCTATAGACTCTAAACTTTCTTTTTCTTCATCTTCATCTGAAAGTTGTTCCTCCGTTGACAATGAACTATGGTCAAGATCTTTCAGAGTTCCCTCTGCCATATACAACAAGACTTGTTTACCAATAGTCAGAAGTTTATTCTTTCTTAAAATTGAGCTACCACTGTAGTCCCCTAGATTCTCTTCTGTTCTAGACGTTAGAGCATCATCCATTCTTATGGTTGGTCTGGTATAACAATTTTCAACATGCTCTTCTATCATAGCCACTCTGGCATCACTGACACTTGATAGTATCTTTCCACTCCTTGGAGTTTGGCTGTTATTAAACTTTTCTGCATTTATTCGTTTTTGTGATGTTGGGGTGTCTATATGATTAAGCTGCAGACTTTTCTTTCTCATATCATTCTCATTCATATTAATTTCTCTTCTAGATGTTAAAGCTTTTTTATCACAAAACAAAACTGTGCTCACAGTTGTGTCTGTATCACAGCCTTCAAGTGTCTTTTGTAACTTACAGCCTAACACTGGCTTTTCCATCACTGAAACTGGGTACATATTACAGTTTTCATCACTCTTTTCTGTGTCAGACGAAAGATTTTGCTCACTTTGTGTTCTGATATCCATAAGTGTTTCTTTTTTGCAAACAGGGATATCTTTTACAATAGATGTACTACTCTTATGATTTTCCAGGGTTGTTTCTTTCCTTAGTACAGAGGTATATTTGTCAGAATGATGAAGATCTTCTCCATTTCTTAGCATTAGAATCTTTTCACAGTGTTTTAGAATTAATTTCTCGGGCAATGGGTTGTCTTTATCACCAGATATGGCATTTTTCTTACTCATAACTGGGCTTTTGTTATAGCTGATAAAACAGCCAGTCAAATTAGAATCCTTTATTGTCCTTGAATGTTTCTTATTTGTAATCAGAGTTTTAGATTCTGAATCTGGATTCTTGCTGCAGTTCTCCTGCCTTAATAATCTCTTTCGCTTTTTAGGTTGCTTTTCTTGTTTCATAAATTTCACCAGATTAAGTTCATCAAGTGTTTGGTCCTTTTCAGAAGTCCCAGACATAATGTCCAGATTCCTAACATCTTTTATAACAGCCTTTCCACTTGTAATATATTCTTGAACACGACTATTTATATCAGGAAAAGAATTACACAGCGGTGATTCTCTCCCTGAAGCAGGTAAATCTGTTTCCACTTGTTCACTGTGAGTAGGGGATATATTATCAGAAGAGTCAGATAACGGGTGATGTACAGAAGTATTGACCCAATGCTGAACTGAATCCATTGTCTTTCTATATTTATGTCTATTTTCCCATGATTCATCTGCAACCAAAATTATTAAACATTATTAGAACTATAAAATAAGCAAACAAACAAACAAACTATTAACACTATAAAAAAGACACTAGTGCCATACGCGTTTCAACCTCAAGAGGTCATCATCAGTGGCAACGGAAATTAATTAATTAATTTAATCAAAATGGTTTAAAATTGGTCTAAATATGATTTAGAAAACAAATCATGAAGTGGAATTATTTTACAAAAGCATACACTAGATGTTGGTTTCACAGGAGTTGGACTCTGCACTTAGCTATTGATCTGATGGTCCGGTGGCCATAGCTGGTCTGCGGCGAGCTGTTGTTGTGTCGTCCGTACCTGTGAACTCCAACGAAGCGTGGGTGTTACTGCCAGTTTTCGAATGTGTGGCAGTAACACCCACGCTTCGTTGGAGTTCACAAGTACGGACGACGCAACAACAGCTCTGAAAGGAGGCCCTATGCTCCACTTAGGAGTTACAGGAACTATCTATCTCTCTATCTCTCTCAGCACCAAATGCAGGTGAATGGTCAGTTCTGCATTCCAGAGAATTTACTTCTGGAGAGTAACTCCATTATCCATTGGAAAGCAGATGTGAGCCCATCAGTACCTGTGTTAAACAGAAACCTATCTGAAGTGATGAAGAAGTCTAGATCCTCTGGGGTTCTGTTATAATGTATTTAGTCCATCTGACAGGACATCACTGTTTCTTCTGCATACTTATGTACAAAATAAGGTTAATTTTTCAGTAAATGGAATGAATGATTCATAGACAAATTATGGCAATCTTCTTGAAGGGTAGAACCAAACAATGTAAACTAACCTGGCAATTCAATATGTGTATTTTGTGACACAATTTCTTTGCAAGAGGTTGATAAACTCTGGATGTCATGATCTCCAATCTCGTTTATTTGTATGCTTTTATGACTGAGAATGCTTTTTTCCTGAAGAGCAATCAAGAATGGACATGATATTAAAAAATGTCCATATATTCTAGACCTCAGCAATAAATGGTGATGAGTGGTCAGTTTCATGCTTTGCTCCTAGAGAAAAAAAACCCTTGTATATACTGGATAGGAGGATTAACTGGCCCTACAACCACTTTGGATAAGGTGAAGAGGAAAATCTTGTCCCTTCCTGGAATCATATTTCAGTCACCCATTTCATAGCAGGCCACTTTAACCAAGTCATACAGGAACGGGAAACTTGAATACTGGTACTGTGAGGCTAGCTAGGGATTTAACACTTTAGCAGTATTCTGATGTGACTGCTAGCTGGACTGGATGTAAACCATGATGCTATAAAGTTATACTAGCTCACTGCAATATCCTCGTGATAGTGTGAAGGTAAAATATTTTTAAAGCGGAGAGAATCAATGGGGTTTGCAAAATTATGAGACATACAAGTTACTTTACAATCATTTTACTGATCTCCAAATCATCAATGTAACATGTTGGTGTAGCATTAATGCCTCTGACTTGCATTCAGGAAGTCTGAATCACCAGAATGACATGAAATTTAGCAACTTCTACAGCAGATGCTTATCATCAAAATATATTGAGTAGTTGTGAGATTAAATACAATACATGTTGCATAAGGTATAATAAAGTTATTGGTGTTTTAAATGTTGTAAGTTTAAAACACAAATGATACAAATATTCATGTGAACAAATCAATTGTATCCACTTATATTCTACAAACACTACAGAAATGTTACCATTTAAAGACACAAACTTCAATCAGAATATCCAGTGCTATGCAAGAGTTACCAGAATGCTTCGTTTTACTTAATAACACCACAAGACAACCCTCTGTGCCTAAGGTAAGTAGTGAAAAGGGCTGACATTCAAATATTTTCGATCACATAACAAAAACAACCAAAAAACATCAGCCAGATTATATAGCAGAAATGTCTCACCAATGCAGTCAAACTGCATTCTTACCATCTGTGTATACTTCTCTTGCATTTTCTTCCATAACAACTCCCGCCTCAAGAGCATTCTTTCAGAAGGTCTTAAAGGTATTCCTGAACAACCTCTACCAACCCGTCTGGAAACAATTTCAGTATCTTATTGACTACAAAAAATTATCAAAATTTATTGAGATTCAAGGCATGAAAACATAACTGTTTACATCGAAGGGTGCATTACTGAAGATGAACACATGCCATACAAGAAGTCACCATGTATCTCAGTTACTTGGTGGCATATACTTTATCAGTGGCAATTTTTGGTCATAACACTGCAAAAGCAAAATATTATTGGCCAATTATTATCTACATTTGGAGAGAGTTCTTGGTTTTGCATTAGATTTATGGGGGTCAGCTAATTTTTACGGTTCTGATAACATTATCAAAATGAATATGTAAACATACCTTCCTGCTGCTGATATCACACTTGCATCCAAAGTAGAAGACATTGTGTATTTATTCAGACTTATTTAGTGTAGAACAGTGTCTTCCTTAATCTCTTACAAGTGTGTGTCTATTGTGTACATAAATTCGACACCATAACCAACAAATTTTAATCAGTCATATATACATAGGCGAAGGCCACGAACGTATTGACGGGAGCTATTTCATTTTTATTGCTTTCTTGGTTGGTGATCATGTGCTGATGCTTTGGGGCTTATGTGATTAATATTTTGTTATTTATTATGAATGTTTTTATTATTACCATTATGGGATAATATAATAACCGTTGGCATGATGGTATTTTCTGTGCTACTATCTACATGTACTACAACACAGCACTGCTATAAACTTGATAAATTTTTAGATTTTGGTACATGAAATCGTTCTATACTTAATTTAACAAAGTAATGATATTTGTTTTTGTTACACACTATTTTGTGGAAACGTTGCACTGAATCTGTGGTGGCGATGCTGAGTGTCGAAAACACTCATTTCTTGGTGTTTACCTTTCGCGACATGATACCAGCATTATTAGTAGTATCTGCCACCAATAGCGTTATTTTATTTTGAGGTTAAGGGGCTACTTGTAACTGAGTTTGATTGTTTTGTTCTCTTTTAAATGTTGAAGGTTGTTGTTATGTAGTGGGAAAGTGACGAAATATTAGATTTTTGGACATTCACGTCCAGCAACCGAGCTTGTGGGACTACTACGGCAAAGAACGTTGAAAACAAAACAAATGTGTTGCACTCGAACAAGTTCTCCATGAAATATCAGTGAGCGATTGAATATTAACGAATTCAAAGTTAAAATACATTCTATCAGGAACACATTCATTAACTGGTTAAGGAAAGTGGAGAAAAGTAAAAAGTCTGAGCTGAGACTAATGAGATGTACAAGCCTAGGATGCCGACGTCTGGCCTTGTTGATTTTTTTCTGAGGAGGATCATTTCTAAAAGGAGAAGTTTCACATATCTGGTACCCGGTACCTGAGGGCCTCATAGTCAACGTGGTATACGTTATCCTTCTTTGTAAGTGCTATAATTAGTGCATTAACCCATTAAAGCCGACGCTTATCAGACCTTTAAAACGCCAGTTCCTACTGCAAAGAAAATGCAAAATGTCTTTATTACAAAGATCAAATGGTTATCAGTGCCAAGGGAAATAATCACCGTATATTATGAGAATGGCATGGAAATCATAAATACATTTTTTAGATAACATTAAGAATTACTGAATATTAGCGCATGTGGTACACAAAGTTACTATTGGATTTTTATGGGTTAATATACTGTTGTGGTTGGACTGAGTAAAACCACAAAATACCTCAGTCACGATAGTTTGTTTTTTGGGTGGAGATTTGAATCTGGGACCTCCTGAATACTGAATGACATTTGGAAACCTGTGCTGTTATACCTACCCTTCAGTGTCAGGTCTTTTCTCCTCTCTTGAGAACTGCTGCCTTTTTACTGGACCGTTCTTTACTTTCCCACATGAAGAAAACAACCCTTGTTGAGAATCAAATCAAATTCAGCAGCAAATGAAAATATATTTCTGTGATATCATTAATACTGGTTTTTTTTTGTTATAACTAGGGTGCTAGGTACATCTGTGTATCAGACTGTCCCTTATTTTAGGGTCTTTCCACATTTTTGGAGGAAGGTCTGCCAGAATATGATATGTGTTTCTGCTGTCTTAATACATAGAAAAGCAACCTAGGAGATATCTTTATTATTTATAACAGTTTCCATTCAAATGTATTGATTATATTTTATTCTGTCTGACCCATAACTAGCAATTTATTTATTGCATGTGATTTAAAAGTCTTGTGGACTTCATGTTGTCTATAACTTTTTGTAAGTGGCCATATTTCAGAGCTGCATGTTAATGCCAGGACACACATATCTGAAATATGTAGTTTTACAAAAGACATTGCTGAATGATATTTAATGTTGCTGTATTATTTTCATGTTAACATGTTAAACTTCTTGATCAATAACTTGTAATTGTGATGGTTCTAGTGAAATTATTTGTATATTATTTTGGTATATTATTATTATTTATTATTTTGTTATTCACTACTTGGGCATTTTTCTATAGCAGCTTAACGACATAAAAATGCTACCAAAAATGAAGACCTTTCATGTAGGATTTGAGGTTCTCATGATGGCAAGAATGAAGTTGGAGCCTCATAAACAAACTAAAGACACTTAATTGAACTGAAGTCTGAAATTAGTATTCAGATACCTGTAAAGAATTTTGGAAAGACAGCAATAGCTAGCTCTGGAGTTCCAGAGTAGTCAGTAAGAAGTGTGATTGCTGAGAGGCATAACATAGAGAGAGAGAGTATCATGTTGTATTTTTATACACAGCTTTTTGCGAGTAGCAATTGTTTACTCACGCTTTCCTCCATAGGTTTACGTTTCTCCATTTCCTTTTTAATCATTTCTTCTGTCGTTCTGCTGTATTGTATTTCATTCTTTAAATCGTCTTCAATAGATTTGCGAAATTTTGTCTCTTTTCTTAAAATCTTTTGTAGATATTCTCGTTGTTCTATACGTTGGTTTATCATTTCACGAAGAAGTGTACACTGTTCTTCTTCATCTTGCCACTTCCTATTAATTGTGTAGCTTCGTTGCATCTCGTTCTTTAGCTTTTCTTTTGTTAATTCTGATTGTTTTGTTTGTTTCTTCAAACGTTGTTGTAGAGACTCTAGAATTTTCTTATGTTGTTTTAGTTTATTTTTTATGAATTCATGATTGTCTGTCGTTCGGAGTTTCATACTCTTGTTTCCTAGATTCTCTCGTTCACCTTGGATTGCATTTGTGATTACATTTTTTGGCTGTAAATCTATCTTTGGATGGTCACTTCTAGGGCATGTCTGTTCTAGAATCTGCTCTTGGCCTCCTACGATCACCAACTGATGTTCATGACACTCACACACTCGCACATTTCCGTCACTAGTACTCACATTACCGGAACTACAGTTGTCTTCATTTCCGTTTACTTCCTTGTCTTGAATGTCTTCGGCGGTTAGGTCTAATATTCCAGTTAGTTCCTGTAGAAACATCCACTGGTCTTTCAGTTGATGAATTTCAGCTTCTAACATCACAGAGTTCTGATTCACATGCTCCATGAGTCGATTGTTTTATGTCAGTTCTTTTCCCAATCGACCCTGGGTATAGGTGCAGAGACCTTACTTTAAATTTCCATAAAAATTCTCATTGATTGATAGATGGATTAAACATATTATGGAATTACAATTTTTCTATTTGTATTTATCACATGACCGAATCTCGACTCTTCTGTTAGGTCCATTACGAAAGTCTTAGATGTCACTATTATGTTGTTGGTATTATACCTCCTGAAGCATTTTAATTTTGTTTTCGTTTATAATGATCATTGGCACAAACTCTCTTAAAATATCGATATTGCATGACTAAAGCACGATTTGTAGGACTATTTCTGGAGAAAATGTTGCGTATTTTCCTTGCAGCAAGACCATAAAAACACTGAGTAATTATACAGGTAAAATTAAAGTCATGTAACAGTACAGGGCTAAATAAAAGGTGGTGTATACAGAGCAGTTGTGAACAGTTCATGTAACTGAAGCTCTGTTCCAACAAATGCCTGCTAGCATGCTTTGTTATTGATCTAGTGTGGCAGGTTCCCATGGATACTATATGTTTACTACAAGGCATGTGAAAAGGAGGTAGTAAAATCGAAATTAGTAAAAGTACCAACTTTGTAACCTAATTCAATTAGTTGTGTTGGAAATCCCTGGGCTTCTGCCATCTCAGATTAGATCAAGGCCTTCAGATGACTGGGATTTCTCCTGAGAGGCTAGGCCACCCATGGGGCTACTTTCATTTCCATGGACTACACCCCCTGGGGACATCCCCAGATAATATCCACCACACCTTCTCCAAGTAACACGTTTTTGCTTTCATTCATGGTTTGGAGCCCAAAAGCTCCCAAATTTTGAATTAGCATGTTTAAAATATTGTTCAAATGCAGCAAGTAGGTTTTTATTGTAGTTGTCAAAGAGGTGGTAATTTATACATAAGGATATTTTGCAACATCACATTGAATGAGCCGTGGCTTAGCAGACCAGGTCAGATGAAGGTAATCTGTAAATTAACCTGATGGTCTGAAACATTAATTGTATTATGTAAAAGAAGTGATTTGATTGGTTGAAATTGTGGCCAAAGATGACCATTGTGTACATGAAGAGAGATTGACCTTAGAGTTCTTAAGTCATTAAATTAGAAATTGTGAATTCCTGTATTGTTGACAGTAGCAGTAAAATGTTTTAAAATACGTAATAGCGTCTTGCCTGTAAGGCAGAAAAGACACTGTTATGTCAGCCTGTGTTTGTAGGCACTGAAATCATTGAATATGCTTTATGTAAATCATCACGCTATATTCCACCGAAGATTTGGACCACCACAGTGCTTCTTCCTGATCTTAATTTAGTACTGATTTTAGAGATATTGTTGATAGGAATAGTCATTATTTGAATGCAAATTTTCTGTATTTGTCATTTTTAAGTTATCATATTTTAAAAATTTCATAACAGTGGACTTACATGTACTTTCCATGTTTGTTGACAGAAGATACCAATGCAGAAATTGCTTTGCAAAGTTATGAATGATGTCATCAAATTCAGGCTTTGAAAGTAACATTCCAGAGCTCCCACACAAAACACGTCAACTACATGAAGGTCACTGGTTTTGGACCACGGAAGAAGCATCCGTTGTTTCTTCCCTGCATTCCTACACCTTCCATGAGGAGTACTTGTGCTAAAGGTATGTGTCGTGTGAGATGTTTCTCACCATTACACTTCTGATCTCTTTGTTTATTGATCTGATACACTTAATAATTCCAGAGTAACTCATAATGTTATTTGGTATGGTGTAAATGTGCTGATATGTACAGCAATGTGGAAAATTTACGTATTTACAGTAATAGTGCCAGTTGTCCTACTCCAAATAATGTCATCTATAGATATAGATTTTTGAGACTTTCGCGGCGAGTACAATCAATAAAATCTTCTCGGGCAATCAGCTGCGTTAGTTGGTTAACATAGTAAACTGACAGGCGGCTTCCGAGGATCCAGTCACATCAGAACCCTGAAAATGGGGTCAAAGTTTGTTCCCAAAATGTCGGTTTGCTACGGTAACCAGCTAACACAGCTGATTGCCCAAGAAGATTTTATTCATCTATAGATATTATCTTTCTGTACTTAACATTAAGCTAGGCTCGGAGGTTCAGTCTACTGTGTTACCTCTGGGGCTGTTACCCTTGTTTTTTTATCAGGTTGTAACTGCTAAGATGAGAGAAACTCCAACATGAGTTTTTATAATCTTGAAATTAGACCTGTCCCTGGCTCTTATGCTTGCATCATTATCTAAAGCAGCCACTTCCCACTCCACCAGCAAATACAAATAAAACTGAATACCTATCTTAAAACTGAATTGATCGTGGTGTTTGTTGGTCATGCACCTTTAACCCTTTGAAGCTGAAATTCATATGATAATATTTAAGATTCATAAGATAGTGTAATTGCGTCATATTGTGAATATTATATCAATTATTTATTTTAATCCGTCTGATCACAATATTTAAAATTTCTTATAATTAAGATAATAAAATATCATTCATGTTCCATATCGATTGATCGATTGACATTTCGGAACATTTACACAGCATGTTTCGGTTTTTATAAAACCATCATCAGGTGTAAAATATATCTAAGAACTTAAAACTCAATTATGATTTCTGTAGTTTTTTGGTGATGTTTCATTACGTTTGTTTTTCCATTTTTGGGCGAAGGTGTTGTTTTTCTTAAATGTTATTAGATGTACATATCGGCCAAAGATGTAGGAGTGAGTGTCCCGATATGTCCAGAAGTACTAGTGTCTTCGAATAGGTGTGGGTCTTTGGCCGATATGTACATCTAATAACATTTAAGATTCAGTTTTTATCGCAAAGAAAACACTTCACCATTACAAAGATCAATTGGTTAATGTTGTTCAAGGAAATAATCCCTATTTACAGTCACAATCATACAAAACCCATGAATATAAAATGCAGTTATTGATTAGTTTTGTGGGTGGTACATATAGTTACCACTGGGCTTTAAAGGGTTAACATAGGAAAGTCAACACATTTCATTATCTGTCGATAAAAGTGTTTCAGAATCAAATACCAGTTAATTTGTTGCAGGTTTTTTATGTTATCAGTAGACGTAGATGCACCACCACATAACATGACATGTACAACTAAGCTTTAGCAAGTAATGCCACACTTAGTAGTGAATGTTTTTTTTATTGAGGCCAAGAATTGCTGGTTAATGCATTGAGGTAGCACAAATGGCCTTGAAATTGCACCTCTGTATTCCAGCAACATCTTGTTTGGATGAAAATTATGTGGATGTCTGTCCATGTCCGTCTTCTGCATTAACACAGGCTCCTTTATCCAATGGCTGCTGGACTACTTCACCATTGCCCTCATAAGCTGGAGAATGGTCTTTGTGCTTCCACCGTTATCTAAAAGCAGCTCACAAATTTCTGGGATATTTTTGGCACAATGAGGTGGTGTTTCTCCAATGAAATCTCTTCTGTTGACACTTGCCCCTCTTGTAAAAAGAATACTAATTTCTAGGCTTCTAGATTGTTCAGCAAACGTGCAGAGGTAACATCTTCTCTCCATCCACACCGTCAACAGAGACACTATTGTGATAGATATTTCACCTATGTTTTAAAATTGAGCCCTCATTAAAGTGCTCAACGTGCATTATGACACTGTTATCTTTTTTGGCAAAAGAACAAGCAGCCAATTTATAACCAATTTGTTTGTTTATTCAGTTACTGTAGAACACTGTGCCAACTGCTTATGTTATTTCATTATGCACTGTATATTGGGATGAGCCAAGGTAGCTCTGACGATAAGGTTTCGATTCCTAGCAGGGAGAAAAACTTTTTTCATAGCCCCAGTGTCCAGACTATCAGATGTATACCGGGAACCCTTTCCCCGGGTAAAGCGGTCGGGGCGTCAAGTAGACCACTCACCTATATCTACTGCTAATGCCAAGAAAGAGTGGATGTATACTTCCACCTCACCATCTGTCTTCATGTCGTAGTGCCAGGAACAACTTTTCCTTTGTAGCGGGATGATATATGATGATTCTGAATTGTGATTATGTCATAGTAACTGTTTGCAGTTACAAAGATACCTTTTTGTGTATGGTGGAACATACATTAACCGATCACATTTTCGTCAACGGAACTGATGTACTTGTTGTGTGATCGGCATGCCTTGACGTACGTGTCGAAAATAGGACTTTTCGCTTCAATTTTGGCATAAGTGGGCTTTTGGGAGACGTACGTATTGATGTCGCATTGAAACCTAAACATCGTGAGCTACAAAGAACAATCTTGTAACTACTTACGTTCTTTGAAGAATCCATTCCTCTGTCTTAGCGTTTCTCTGGCTGTCCTTCGTTTCCTGTCTCTCTGGTATGGCTTCCTCTTCAAGTGGTTTTGCTCTGCGATTCAACATTGTTTGCAAATATTCTGTAAGTTTGATTTCGTCAATTAATTTCTGCTGCGCAGTTTTTGTACGGGATATCGTCTTATTCATATCTTCTTGCAGTCTTTGCCGATGGTTTGTTTCTTTCCTTATTTTTGCCTTAAAATACTCACAAGCTTTTTCTTCACACTTCAGCTTCTTTTGGAGATATTCTCGTTCTTTGATTCCGTTCAATAGTTTTCGTTCTCTATTTTCTTGCTGCATCTTTTCGTTTCTTAATTTTTCACGCAGTGTTTTATGTAGTTTGACTTGATTCTCTAATTCTTGCTCTGTTTGTTTGCAAAGTTTTATTTCTCCTTTAATTTGTTCCTGCAGTACTTCTTTACGACCTTTCATTAACTGTATGTTTGATTTGTGAGCGTCACTCTCTTCCCATCCAGCTGCTCTGGTTTCATCGTCTGTTTTCATATCTTCATCTTGCACGTTTCCATTATTTTCATCTTCATATGGTTCCTCTCGACTACATTCCAATTCTTTTTCAATTCTGTCCACATTTTTATATTCTTCCTTCGTCTGTTGTTCGTTGTGTGGTGTTGGGTAGGGTCTTTCCAGGATTCGCAGAAGATCCTGTAGAAACAATTTCTCATCTATGAGAATATTAACTATCTCTCTCTTCATTTCCATACTTTTAGATTCCTGCTCCTCCATACTTCGTTTCAAACGTACCTTCCATTTGTTTCAGTATTTGTGTTCAGCGTCAAACACAGGTCGTGGTTCTGTTTCGAAATTGGAATGTCCTAAAAGTCTGATGCTTTTCGAAAGTGTACATTACCTACCATATTTGGCTGTGTCAGAATAAATAAAAAGATAATAAAGTACTGCGATAGTTAATTCTTTGTTATTCAGACAAAATTTTTCATTCAAATAGCGTACGTAAACGAAATTGGCAAGACTGTGCTGGAATCTCAGGACATCTCTTCGCTTCGTTGCGTCCTTGCCTTCAGTTGAAATCATCATCGATGCTGAACATTTGTAACCACTGCTAAGTTGCTGCCAAACGTGAACGTGCTACAGTCGCCCAGTTAAATATGGCCAATTTCAAATATCGATTATTGTTTTTTTCTTGCCACGTTGTCTGGGATACAGTTATATACAAAACACATAAAGGTTGAATGGCAAATATCGATATAAGGAACGGCCTCGTGTTACAAATATATTTATTGAAAGCATTGGGCTTTAAACTTTAGACGAGTTTCAAAAAAGTAAACTTATACAACCACCATTAAGGCTTGTTCACACACAGCCAGTAATTTAGTCGAGTAGCGAGTAGTTTTGTTACTTACCATGTGCGGACATTAAAATTTAGTCGAGTAGTTTAGTGAAACGATTTAGTCGAGTAGATTCATTTCATTATATTTTTTTGGTCGAGTAGGCTTCCCCCACCCCTATACAACTGAGCTCGGGACATATCTGAATACGTTTGTTTAGTCAAGTTCATTAGTAGCCAAAATGACGCGCTGGAATGAAGAGATGACTATTCGCTTTATTACTGAATATTTAAATCATGAATCGCTGTGGAATGTGAAAAGTGAACTGTATAAAAACAGACAAGCTGCGTACCTGAGTTTGGAGAAAACTATGAATATACCTGGATTTACAGAAAAGGAGATAAAATTCAAAATCAAGAACATCAGGTCAACCTATTCCCAGGAATTAAAGAAAATTAAAGATTCCAAGAAATCTGGAGCTGGGGGTTAATGCAGGTATGTTCCAAAAATAAAATGGTTCCACTTATTGGATGAGGAGTCATTAAGAAATATCTATTCAGAAATGAGAGAAACACAAAGTAATTTGCTAAGTACTCACATTTTTATAACATGATGACATTTTTTAATGTTAGGAAGGCATTGTTAAATAACTCGCAATTATGATATTTACTACTTAATTAATTTTCTGTACATTTCATAATATGATAACTGCACAGTAATTTAAATGATAGCGTTTCAATATACATCATTCTTGGGTAATTGCCAAGGCAATATTTTGTTTTTCAAACAGTACAATATCAGTGTATCATTCTTAATTGCCAAGGCACTGACCCCTCTCCCACAAAATAATCAACTAATCTTTCGCGGAGTTCTTGAGATCGTCGACTTGAAGGTTTTGTTAAAGTTCTGGGGAGTGGAAGTAATCCAAGGGGCTGATGCGAGCTCCTCCAACTACTCTCAATTATTTCACCGGCATCATGAATTTCTGCATCTACAGCATGTGTGTTTGATAATCTGAGCCAGTTACGTAATGCACAACAGACTACTTTATCTGGGGAAAAAGGTATCGGTCTTTCAAATATCCTGAACCTGCTTGCCATTATTCCAAAAGCATTCTCGACTATTCTTCTCGCACGAGACAGCCGGTAATTGAACACTTTTTGTTTAAGAGTCAATCGAGTTTCGGGAAAAGGCTTCAGCAAGTATTCTTTCAATGGAAATGCATTGTCCCCGACTAAGAAATGACTTTCTGGCAACATACCGCTCTCCAATGCTTGGTATAAACTGCACTGACGAAAAATTTCAAACGCTCAACTGTACTAGTCCGGACACATTAAAAGTGACTAAACCATTTTAGTGTTAGTTACTACTCGCTACTCGACTAAATTACTGGCTGTGTGTGAACAAGCCTTTAATGTCATTACACCTGTCACATTTTATTCTGCCCACAACCAGCGACACAGAGATGTAGGGCAGGGATTTGGATGAAACACGAAATGTTTGGCCTTCACTACACTGTACTGCCATAACATTTATCACAGTAGCCCATGTTAGATTGTTTTATCATATTTACCAACATAAATGGCTTCTTATCTATGTGGGGTTTGCTTTAGAACACAACTCAGCTGGATTATGCGCAAGTCATCATATTATATTGGAGTGTATATTATCGAGATAACTTCTACTGACGTGATAATGAGATCGAGTCGCTTTGTTCTTACAAAATGATTTCCATGAAGAGACAGGTGAACGTACTGACAGAATGACCGACACAAGCATGTTCTTGACATGGTTTTGTTAATTTGTAACCTTTTAGCCCTGAAACGAAGTTCTGCCAACACTAAGATCTCGCAAAATGAACTGTGCTTAATTATAAGGCAGATTGTTTTTGGTCTTCAGTGACGCAATGCATCATAGCTCACTGTCTATGCAATTATGATTGTATTTTGCTGAGTGGTCCTCTTTTTGGTTTTCATAATTACCACATTGTACAGACATGACGTGACATATTTTCCAGTCGAGATCTATAGCTCCTGTTAATGCCACCCCAAGGATATATGTTTTCATTCCTGTTTTAGAAAATACTGTTATTTGTTGTTACAGGATTTAAAATTGAGATGTTGAGCCTATGAAACTTTACCTTTAGATGTGGTTTTATTTATGTATGAAGCCACAGTCAGTATTCTGCTAGTCAAATATTCCACTGCTTCATCAGGAACTTAACTTCAGTAATAGGAAAAATGTTTGGTTTGTAAATTGAACCGTCTAATTTTAATGAATATACAGACAAGGTAAATTCACACATGAACACCTCAACATTTTATTAACACATATTTTGAGAGATTAGGGGTGCTTAGGAGAATATTAGGACCTAAGATGGATGAAATGATGGAGAAAACTACATGGAATTAATGTTTTATTGATATTATTGAGGGCACCATAATGTAGATCTGAGAAGTAATATGAGAAGTGCTACACCACTTCAGAATTTCACATCCCATTTCATTATCATCTTCCCAACTACAACATGTCTTCTGCGTGTACTGTTCTCTTGAAATTAAATCTTCTTGATTTAATTGCCCTAACGATACTAGGAAAAAATGTGAAGACCTTAGTTATATAACTTTCTCCTGTCTTGTGCTACATCATGCATATTAGGTTCACTTGTTGTCCTCAGAACATGCTTCCGGTGCAGATAAATTCATATGAATGACTGTGGAGTTAGGGAAAAGAAAACAAAGGATTTGGAATGGAAGAAGGAAGGGAGAAATAGGGATATAAATAAACATACAAAGTGAATTCTCCAGTTTTACGTAAAGGTGTGAGGAGTCGTGTTTCACGTGCCTTATAGAGATAAAGTTTTTCATGAGATTTCTGGGCACGTTACATGCGAATAGGTTGATTTCAGTGTCCAAACAATTTCCCTCCTCAGTCATGAACATTATATCCTCACGAAGTGTGTGATGTAGACTTAACGTAGACATTCGTTGTGTATTACGCAGCATAAAGTGGAACTGTATCATAGTCCTTGAATCTA